GAGAGAGAGAGAGAGAGAGAGAGGAGAGGAGAGAGAGAGAGAGAGAGAGAGAGAGAGAGAGGGAGGAGGAGAGAAAGGGGGAGAGAGAAGAGAGAGAGAGAGAGAGAGAGAGGAGAGAGAGAGAGAGAGAGAGAGAGAGAGAGAGAGAGAGAGGAGAGAGAGAGAGAGAGAGAGAGAGAGAGGAGAGAGACTGAGAGAGAGAGAGGAGAGAGGGAGAGGGAGAGAGAGAGAGAGATGAAAGAAGTGTGAGAAAGTGACAATCCAAGATTTTTAAAAGAATCTTTAATGAGATCTTCAACGGAAGATGATTATTTACATTCCAAAGACTAACACGAAGACATGCATTCCTTAATACTAGACTAAAGGAATAAAACACTTTGCATTCTCCCGTTAGGTGCATAAAAACACCAATAGCAGCGGCGGTCAGTGACCCTGTCCGTTAACAACAGCTCTGCCTCCTTCTGGAACACCTCCCGACTGCCCAAACACGCCAGCTGCCAGCCATGAGGGAGAGGAGGAGGGAAGGAGGGAAGGATAACTGTCCTTTGTTAGGTTTCCTTTGTTTTTATGGCTGTGATGTCTTCTTTGTTGACTTCCGGGTGAGGGTTTTCGTTCACTTTTTAGTAAGATGAAGGGATGGTAATCGGTGGAGGGATTTGGCACGGATCAAAGTGACGTTATGTGTTCAGTCAGTTAAGATAAATATTCTCCTGGATGTGAACGAAGAAGGGACGCACGAACGTTTTGTTCTGTTATTGTGATAGTCTTTTGTGTTTGTGTTCTTAATTGCCTCTTATTTCTGAGCCAAGATGATGAAAAATGATGTCAACAATCTACAAGCATGTCTAGCTTTCCGTGTTTTGGAATTCAAATGCTGATTCGCTTTCAATTCTGTGATATGGTTGTCAATTATTAAATGAATGTACCACTGGTTCACATCCTGTCATGGCTAGATATTCATTCAATATATATGCTGTGGCTGTGATTTTTTTTCTGGTGTATGCATGGAATATGTTTAATTCCCCAAAACACGATGTCCAGGAATTATTTGCAGAAGAAAATTGCTACGTCATTCGTAATAAAGGGATGAAGTTGGTGCATGTTGAGTTCATTCCTTCAGGGGAAAAAATGCGGTGAATGTACAGTTAAATATACCTATTTCTTTGAGACTTGTTGGAGCCTTTTTATCGCGAAATTAACCATATCCGGTTTTCTCTTCAACAGAGTATTGAAAAGAGTGGGGTTTATGCTACAGTTGTTGAAGTTATTATCTGTTTTATGCCTGTTGGTTCATATAATCACATCTTTTATATATAATTATGTTTTTACATGATGTATGTGTACGACAATCTTACACACACACACACACACACACACACACACACCACACACACACATCACACACACACACACACACACACACACACACACACACACACCACACACACACACACACACACACACACACACAACACACAACACACACACAAACACACAAACACACAAACCCAGTCCTTCCCCCTGCAACAAGCAATCCCAGCCTCTGCCTCTCCTCCTCCTCAGATGATGAAGCGCACTTCCCTTCTGCTGCTGGTGGCGCTGGGGGCTGTCCTGGGGGCGCCTCGGGACCAGGAGGAGAGCCGCGTCTCCAGCAGCCTCCCCGCCGAGCACCGCCAAGGCCTCCCGCCCGTGCGAGTGTTGGAGACCCTGGACGCAACGGTCGACGCGTGAGTGGCCAGAGTGATTCTGAGAACGATGAACCGTATTTATGTTGACTAATGTAAACAAGGTATGAATTTCTGAGATCGACGAACCGTATTTATGTTGACTATGTAAACAAGGTATGGATGGGAATGGATAACTTTATTTATTTAACCGGTTTCGTGTATATCCGTCAGAAATACGTCTGTATATGTATTTAACCGGTTTCGTGTATATCCGCCAGAAATACGTCTGCCTCTGACAGAGAGATATTCGAAACCGGTTAAATACATCTCTAGTATTGTGAAGTTATCCATTCTCATTCATACCATTTTCTACAGATATCGATAACGTTTATTTAGCCAATGTACATACACGCAGTTTGACATAAACAAACGTAGAGTGGCTGAGCCTCCTGAGAACATGAGCTCTCTTAAGGAGGCAACTTGTGGGTGGGAAATGAACCTGGATTTACAGTCTCGATTCCACCTCAGTCATCCCGACAGTGACGTCTATCTTTAAGAGAAATTCGAGAGTATTTTTTTATTCATTTGCCGGTTATGCAGTTTATTTACAGCAGATATGCTTACATTACGTTGCAGAATAGTCAGCTGAGAAGCTTCCGTTAGTAGACATGATGCAAAATGTAAGATACAGCAGGGCAATATGTAAAAAAGAGAGAAGGCTATTGTTTATTGTTGGAAAATTTCAGGTAAGAGAGAGAGAGAGAAAAAAAATTCACGTTTAAAGAAAAAATGGTGTCATGGTTATGGCTCGTTAAGAGAACGTAGACAGCGTG